TTTTACGTTTTATATTTACTAGACGATGGATAATATCCAAGAAAATTTTTATTCAATTGACTCTTCACCATCGTCAAGAAGTTTTAGATCTAACTGAATGAGTTTAAATAACCATTGGGCATTTCGTATCTGAGAATGGTTTGATTAAAGTGAATCGGTCAAAATCCAGATATAAACGTTTTTTGGACCGTGAGTATTATTCTAACGCACAGCGACATATTTTACGACAGTTAACAAAAGTTGAGGTAAATACGTCAACTTCAGAATTTGATTAAACACAAAACATTTCTGAAGTATCATGACATCTGGTGTTAGAAACTGTTTTCGCAGTAACGTAGATAGGTAGAATGACATTTGCTTTCTTGAAACCGCGTAAAAATAATAACACTATCATACCGAGCACTTTTAAATTTAAACAAAAATACTGAATCTGACGTAATACTTAAGGGGACGTGTTTTTTCCCCCCGTATAATCATAATTGTATATAAATAAAATTATACATAAGATATTAAAATATCATTTACATATTTGGAGAAAAAAAACACGAATAATTAAATTTTAATTCACAATATGACGCAATTATATCAACTTAAGGGGACGTATTAAAAATGCCGTAGAGGATAAATATTGGAATAATATTTTTTTTTTTTGATTGCCAACTGCAACATTTCGGGCACAGAAATCTTCGCGACTTCAAAGAGAACAATTCCCATTTGAAACAAATAAGCAGCTCGCCTTATGATGCAGGAATATATCAACTGATTTTGTTTTACGGAAACCCAGGGACGAACGCATTTCCAAACGGAATATTCTGAAGTACAAGCCGCGTCCACGAATAAAGCGCTCGGCCCCGGATACTGAATCAAAATGGCGTACCTACAACCTCATCGCCGAAGAAAAATTTCTTCATTGAACCTTATATTCAGACGTTACCGAGAACATTAAAATGAAAGGCGGAATTAATAACCTGTACTCGTGGACAGGCGATAAATTCTCTGTACACGAGACCTCATGCGGGTATCGTAAACGCGCAGGAAGAAGGCAAATACGACCGAAACGCAAATGTCACGCGCTCACTTGCCACAAGCAAAATGGTTTTTCTTGGTGGGCGAATTGCAGTTGACGCACGTGCTTATGCCCCTTGAAATTTCAAGTCCCGATGCCACGTGTTCAGGAGTTCTCGCCATTCCAGAGTGACGGAACAGAAAACAATTGACCCCTTATTATGGCACATAAATTGATCGCGAATTTAAAAACCACATTTAAATCAAATTGGAAGGGGTAATAATAGGATGTACTAGCGAAAATTTGTTATGAATTGCAAAATACCAGGATACCGATTGATTCGACAGTTATCTGATTTCCAACAAATTATAGGCAAATTCTTCATTAATAAAAATATATCGTATCCTAGTATTTAGAAAGTAAATATTTCATTAGGAGCCTTTTATATTTTTAAACTGGTAAAAAATACAAAACAGGCATTGTTTCATCTGCAGTAATTCAAAAGAGTCTCTTATAAATTGCGTTCAGGCCCGCCCAAAATATTATATTTCCATCGCCTGGTGATAATTTTCGAATTACGTTTTCCTTTTTGTAATCGAGCACGTGGTTCATTTTCCATGTCACGTGTGTAGTGCGCTATGCATGTTGAGTGTACATCGCATGCCATGCACTTCCTCCTCCTGAGTCTTTACCTAATCTTCACTGCTCTTTGGCAAGGTCTAGTTCAGACCGTGCTAAAGTTCTTTTCAGGTCTATTTAACAAATAAATGACACGAAGGATCCAAACACAGAAAATTAACAACTGAATTTCGCATACCACCAGGTAAACGCCGTCGTAACAAAAGACATTAACAGTAAGAGAGCCCTAGTGACAATTTCGAACACAGGAATAGACAATTCTACATCAAACAACATTTTGGGTTACAGCGCGGAAAGACTCCCAAGTGGAGGGGACGGACATTTAGAAACGATAAAACCCCCACGAAAGTAAGTTGAGGCAGCGTATGAAATGTACGCGGTAAATGGCGGTAAAGTGCAAAGCAGGCAGAGCGAGGTAAGCTGTCGAGTGAGATGGGGAACCACCCCCTAATTGTGATCGATTAATCAAACAGCTGACGCGAAATCTGACCCTCAAGACGAAAAGATGAACAGCGGCAGCTGTGCGACTGCGCGGAACAGCGTGCTGGCGATCGGGGTGGCCGCTCTGATTGCGCTTGCGTGGAGCAGATCGTCCTGAGTGACCAGGCACCAGCCAGCCGGCCAGCTGATCTCTAATTTATTCCGCCGTTGAGTGGAGTCCGCGACATGACACAGCTCAGGTATATACAGGCAGTGCGCCAACCAGTAGGATGCGTGATGGCGTGCGCAGTGTTCCTGGACGACACGATGCACCACCACGAGGGAGCCAGGCAATGAAATCTCTTCGCACATGCCAACAAAAATTATGTCATTTTCCAAAACGCGCGAGTAAGAGCTTTAATTATGTGGAATTTAAGAGAAAGGGTCTCATGTGTGTGTATATTATTATAAATATCTTTTACTGGGCCATCATCAAGTCCGGGTGTTTATATACCTTGCTTCCTTTCTTTTGGTCGATGTACGTTGTCGCAAATACAATTTTTTTTTCGACGTTCAGCAGACGTCCGACAGAAAACGATGTCTTAAATTACTTCGCCGAAATGGAATAGACCTCTTAAAATTATGCGTTGGAAACCTTGGTTTGGTCTGTCCTTTCTTCGTAGAAAACTATCAAATTCTGATGTCTCATTTATCGATACAATTTAAAAATAATGCTTATCGGATAGTAAAATTGGAGATACGTTTCAATTATATCGTAGTATGTGGAATTTTGTAAAATTTCTGGTATCCAGAAATTTTCGAGCCTCTAATACTACAGACCTCGTGTTGTTTAATCTACAGTTTTAAGACCCTTCACGAGATGCATCCATTTCGCAAATATTTATTATCTGCCTGTATTAGGTGCTCATGAATCACACTGTTTAAGACAAAATTGCTTTTCCTGAGTAAACTCATGCGATAGTAACGCACGACTCGAACACTGCCACGTCATCATGTCCCCTGGCTGGCTATACAGACCTGTGTTGCAGCTACTTATGGAAACCAGACAAAGAATTCCTTTTCTACTGTGATAATGGGGAACAATATTTAAAATCTGGTTTCATTCACAAATGTGCATAAGAGTTTAAGTAAGCAGTTTAAGTGTACTTAAAACTGGCCTGCTCAGTGAAGCTGCAATGTGCATACATCAACATCCTGTCTTCTGCGATGGGCTGCCCTTAACCCCCCCCCTCTGCGTCACATGTGACAAACCGGACGCAACGTGAAGACAGAAGGGTCAGCCTTGGATGTGCCTTACAGCAGCTAATTGATGACAGAGGGCTCCTACAGCAATGAGCGTACACGTGTCCGTCACGTGGGATAGGTCAGGTGTGTGATGCGAACATAACTCTACAGTAGCTAGTCGGGATTCGAACCCGACCACTCACATAGATAACAGCTCATGATTCGTGATCACATAAGTAATTTTTGCAAAGAAAAAGATTTCATGCAAACGACAAGCTGTCCGCGCGAAACTCATGCCAAAGGACGTGACATGACGTGGGTCATCTATGTAAGTGGTCAACGATGTGACGTATAGTCAGGTCTGCTGGGAACAATAACCGACTCCCAGCTTAGCTTTGCCTCGGATTGCCACATCATGTTGTTATACTATATCAGAAACAGACTGTACTTTACTTTGCTCGTGCAGACTACAGTCTGCGATGCTTAGTGTGTGTGAACCGAATGTTATGGGGGCAAAAGAGACTTTGTGTGCGTATGTAAAGAATGCCTGAGAGTGTGACTGATGTGTATACAAAATGGGACCACAGTAAATTTGTACGTAGTGTAGTTCATCATCACATCTGTTAAACGCCTCCTCAAACACTATGACTCACTTACTATGATCATCATTATTATTATTATTATGTAAAATATAAGAAACAATTAAAATATTTTAATTACAACAAATTATTTTTATTTCAATTACCCTGTTCTCACCATGACTATTACTTTTGGAATGTTACACCGTGTATAGTCTTGTAGACGTTTATGAACTGAACCCTGATTATGGAGACAGTAAACTCCTCTGAAACGTCGGTAAACGTCTACCAGCTTACACGACACGGTGCAGCATCCCGGAAGGTTATCTTCATATATGACGTCAACAGAACCTCAGATCTTGCCAAGAAACACCCCAAATCAAATCCGATTGTCCCGCGTAATTCTTGGTTTATTTAACGACGTCGTCAACTGCTCAGACTGTATTGGGGACGAATTACAGTAAGATTAATTATTGATAAATTGTAAAGGATGCAGAAGGAAAATGTCGCGACTTATTCTAAGGCACTATCTCGGAACTTGCCAGGAGGGACCGAGGAAAAGCTCAAGATACCTTATCTCGATTCCGAGACCAGCAACAACTGATCGTCAGTTTGAAACCCGAGTTGATTTCCATCACGAATTCCGTTCATGGTTTGTCCAGGTTTTGGATTTGTTTGCCAGGTAACATCTGGTTCGACAATGGCGAGGAGAAATTGCCCCTTGCATGTGCCGACGCCTGCAAAACAGCAAAGAACATATTTAAGGGGGCGAAATACTGTGCGTCTCCACTCAACGCGAGGTCTCGAGGAAAACTTTTAACTAGAAGGCTGTATAAAAGTCACGTCACCCTCATTAGGGTCCAAAGAACACGAGACTGATGAAACTCGTAATCACAGTATTAATGGAGGAAGTAAGGATATCTGAAACGTCGATCAGTTTCTACCGTACTGTACGCCACAACATCCCATCATATTGTAGATCACGAAATTCAGACGTGAATTCTGAGTGATTTTTACGCAAGATAAAACTTTTCTAATTGAACAGAAATCGAGAAAAACTCGAGATGTTGCCTAATGTTTCGGAACTGAGCGTTAAGTTGGGTTTGCTGCCATCTGGAGGCTGAGACGAGCAAAGATTTAATCGATGGACGTGCAATCGGGACGCCGTGCGCCCTCAGACGGCGCATTACTGAACTGATGCTTCAGCCGGACGCGATACAAATCACTAAAGATTGACAGACAGGGATGCATTCTGCTTTGGCGACGAGTATTAGGGTTCCGAAGGACTACGAAGCAAAGTCCCACAGTCTAGCTGACCTGGCGAAGTCCTAAGCGCGTTGTATTTTGAGGCGACGTTAAGGACTTATTTCGAATTCGGCATGTTTATTTATTTTTATTTTACTTATATATTATTGACTGCAAATGGGTTTTTACCCGGTGACAGTGGTCCTACAATAAGACACAACAGAACAACACACCAAACTCAAAATAAAACAACTCATAAGATTATAAAACCATCTAACCTAAAGTAGATGACTTAAAAATTAACACCAACTAGACATAAGACAGTAACAGTAATGAATCACACGTTTCATCAGGACATTCTCTTCACTTCACTACACTTATGAAGCCTTCCCATCCTCACCCCGATTTACCTCCCTTAACCCCCCTTTACTCCACCTCATTTATCACTTTTCTAACCTTCTTCCTAAAAGTACTTGGTTTACAGGAGAGAGTCCCTAAAACCTCAGCAGGTAGCTGGTTCCAGAGTTGGATGGTCCTATTTACAAAGGAATATTTCTGCTCCTAATTTTCCGAATATGATCGACCCTGCTCAGATAAGATGGCCTTTGCCTTCCATGCCCGATCTCCCGTGTACGCCTTGAAGAGAGTACATATACGTGCTATCTTTCTACGCTGTGCCAGGGTTTCCCAGTTCGAATCGCTCCTGTGATATGCAAATTTACATGCTTTCCTTTGCACCCGTTCTAACGCATTTATCTGCCCCTCCCTGTAAGGATCCCAGCACGCCGCCCCATATTCCAGAATCGGACGCACTAGTGATGTGTAGGCTAGACTTTTAGTGTTACTATTCCCCTTTTTGAGAACACGCATTGTAAAATGAAGTGCCTTCCAGGCTTTTTTCACCGTATAATTTACTTGATCAGCCCAGCTTAAATCGCTGCTTAAGAGTATTC